AACGTCTGTTAACCTTTAAATGACTATGCAAACTTCTGAGCGTCATCTCTTCTGAATTGGGAGTAAAGGTTTAGGCTGTTAAAAATTACCTGGTCAGTATATTCAAATGAATTGACCTCTGCAATAAACTAGAGAACTTTACTCTCAACTTAAAGCTTTCGTCACTGCAGGAATTCATACTATTTGTGTCTTTCGGTAAAGTCACGTAGATAGAAAAATAATAAAAATCACGAAGTTTCGATCGCAACGCAAGCTATCGTCTTGAGTTGAAAAATACAACGGGCGGACTGCCTCAGCACGTGACTTTACCGAAAGACCCAAAGAGTATTTACTCTCAACCTTACATCAAGGCTGTTGTGTTAATGAATACAATTGGTTTTTAAGGAAGGTAACAAACTTTGTGAGGATAATTCTGTTTCAACACCAGTAATCTTTAAATGTGTTGGGGGGGGGGGGGCTGCTGACCAAGGATCCCCAAGTGGGGCTAACGGTTTGTAGGATGACTGGTGATACAATCAAATACCATTTCCCAAAGCACATGAACCTTATTCCACTGATCCTGGTTAAAAAAAAAATCTTCAGAATGTCATGCACCTAAATAGAGGTCCAAAGTCCTTTGTACACGTGTAGTGACTTCATAGATGTCACCATGCTGTGGGTGCAGTACCGGCTCTAGAGGGGCACGGTGTGTGTGTGTGTGTTGTAACATTACTTAATGCCACCATGATGTGGGTGGAGTACCGGCTTTAGAGGGGCACGGCGTGTGGGTAATGACATCAAGGGATGTCACCAGGCTGCAAGTACAGTAACGGCCCGAGCGGGCAAGGTGTGTGCCCACCCGAAGGGAAGGTCGGGTAAGGCCATGACAGTCTAGTTGACACGGGTGGACACGTGACCAGTTAAGGCAGTGAGAGAGTCACGTGATGGAACCGAGGTTCTTCAGGAAGGTTCTGGAAGGGAGGCGGGGCCAGGGGTTGGAGCCGGCCATGCCGGAGAGAATATAAGCCGAACCCCAAGAGGGCTCTGGGCTGTCCACCCCAGGGAAGAAACTCTTCATCTACGTTCTAGTCTGCGAGTCTTCAAGCACGTGGTCCGGGCAGTATGCTGTTAGCTCCGGTCCACGTTAGCAGTTGTTACGTAGCCAGGGTGGTCACCACCCTAGGTCGTTGTGTTAGGTTGTCCTGTTGTGTTCAAGAATAAAATACGCTGCCTCCGAGTTGAAGAGGACGTCTCAGTTGAACTCACTACACACGTACGTCACTAGACTTTACAATGGATTTCTTAATAGCTATTTTTTTTCCGTTTGGTACGTCTTGGCATTTAGCTCTCAGCATGTGCAGCGACACGTTGGACTTGAAGTTTAAAGTTTACTTTGTTTAACCAGGTAAGAAAACAAAATCGGTTTGATCTGCAAGAGTAATCGCCATGCTGAACAACTCGCATACTTTGACGGAAACGTTAGACTGTTCCGAACAACACTGTACAACTTGAAATCACTACGGAGAGCTGCAGAGGGGCCGTCCATAAATGACGTCACGTGATTTTGGACGATTTTTGACCCCCCCTCCTCGTCACACGGCGTCACAAAAAGTCGGACTCCCCCCCCCTCAAATATGACGTCACAAAGCTCTGCCCCCCTCCCCCCCCAAAACCATATTTCCATTTTGAAAATAAAACATGTTTCGCTTTAAACTATTGTCATTGTAATGCGTATTTAATGTGGCGCTGCACTTTGATGTTGTAGGAGTGTTGTTATAACAATTAGTGTTATAACAATTCAATATGTATTTAAAGTTGCGCATTTTGATGTGAAGTCACATTTTTCAACCCCCCCCCCTCGTCACACATCGTCACAAATGTCTGACACCCCCCCCCCCCCTAGGTGCGTGACGCCATTTATGGACGGACCCATAGCACAAACATGAAAACCTCCATACAGTAATTTATCGGAATGAAGTGTAACAAAACGACTTCACAAGTCAAGTTTTCCATTGCTAAAGCAGTTCTAATGTCATCTCGTGGTTGTCAAGCAGTGAAATGCCATGTTCTTGTACAAAGTCAAGGCGTTGGCGCAATAGTTTCCACCTCGTGGTGTTCACCTCGATGCGGTATTTAATAGACCCTGGTGGGAATACTGATTGACCTCGATGGGATTTCAAGCCATGATGGGGAGACCAGTTGAAGTATGCTATACATGCACCCAGAGTTTACATTTGCTTTTTACTGGTAGGGAACCCACTGGTTCCACCAGCCCACAGGGGATTATTGTGTCCGTCCGTCGTGCAGGGAGGGGCTGGGTGGGGAGGGGAGGGTGGGGAGGGGCTGGGTGGGGTGGGGCTGGGTGAGGAGGGGCTGGTCACCCCGTGGTGCCCTTATAAAACTCAACGTTTCACCTACTCACGCCGGCTTGTGCCCGCCCTCACAGTCGGGCATATTTGCGGAATACATCACGCCGCCGTTGACCCTGGCCATTGACCGAGCAACCAAACGTTCCTACCAGCTCCCTCCGCAGGAATGTGTTTTATTTCTGCCGGACATGTCTAGGTCGATGACCCGGAAAATATTTATACACACGGCAATATATTATTCAACATTCCTCTCGCTATGGATGTGGCTAATGGTCACACCTACAGTCTCCAAGCGACCTGGAAAATATTCGGAGAGAATTGTGTGTTTCTGGTTTTGCTTGTGATGTGGATATACAGTGTGTAGCATATGTTTTAGTATATGCTCAAAATGTCACAGTCCGGTACATGTTTACCCAATTACAAAAATGTTGCCGAGCAAGTCCTTAACAGGATCAAACCAGAAAGATATAGTATTGTCATTGTTGAATAAGTGCGGTCCAATAACCACCATGACCCACATGGCATGCGAAATCCAGCAGTGGATTGACTGAGGGCTGTTGAGTAAATGTGCGTTCTGAAATACTGTAGTCATTTTTACACATACATTTAATAGCATCGTAATTCTTAGCATCATCATTGTCGTATTCATTGGGATCAAGACTCATCATATCTAAGGTTGCTAAAATAAGTAACCACTCATGAATGGAATTGACCAAACCAATGTAAGACCCTCATGAAACGTCAAGATTGACATTAGAGTCGCATCATTGTTCATCTTTAGCTGCATCCGTGTAGCCTACAGGACATTAATTACTTCAACACAAGTTAATAAATGTCTCGCATGAGGATGTTCGCTTAAGCCTTTGGGTGGAAATTCCTATTCTACGTCACGTTCCGTGAATGTTTCGCGCACTCAGTTGCATCACTATTTAAACAATAAGCCCTTGAAGCTGAATGAGCGAATTTCTTAAACAGATCTGGGTTTCAGGCATCAATAGTCATGATCTATCCGCTGTAGGATGAGGGCCTCCCAAAGCTGTCTCTATATCTCATGGTCTTGTGATGCAACAATCCATATATAGCTCCTGCACGTGTGTCGAAATAAGAACGTATTTCATTATTGTGTATGTCACCTGCAATGACGTGGAAAAGAAACGTGTACATTGACAAGAGAGAATGGAACCAAAGCACGGAAGGTGTGCAAATAAGCATCGGGATGTGCATGCTTAGAATCAAATCGAGATCACTGTCTATCCAAAGTTACCAATCATGAAAAAAACATATTTTGTTTTTTTACTTAATTTTCCCAAAATAATACAATACTGTGAGTTTCTCTCCGTGTTTGTGTCGGTCTCTCCCGTGTATTTGGGTCTCTGTAACTGGTCCATGTTTCAATTTAAAGCTTTCGTGACTGCAGTGATTCATATTCTTGGTTCTTTCGGTAAAGTCACAATGTACATGTTTCTTTTATTGTTTTATTTTTTATTATTGTATCATTTCCCTTCTACGTGACTTTACCGAAAGAACCAAGAATATGGTCCATGTTTGTGTCTCCCTCTATACCTCTGTTTGTGTTTGTGACACGGTGCCACTGTGTGGTCAATCTCTATGTGTCTCTCTCCATGCCTCTGTCCAGCTCAGTGTCTGTGACTTCACATCTGTTCGTGTGCCTCTCCCAATGTCCCTCTGTCTCTCCCCAAGTCCCCGCGTCTTCTCTTGTGTCAGTGTGTCAAGGACTCTCTTCCCGTCTGTGCAAGTTCCAATGCTCACAAACTGCTCTTGCCGCAAGTGGCCAACGGAGACCGACACACACAATTACCTCCGATCAGCACGGTCGGCTAAAGAAGTTCAACGTACAACCACAGCACTTAGCGGCCGTCAACCGGTGATCAATCCACTGCTGGATCAAAGCCCTCTCCAAACCGTTGCCACCAACATCGCGATCCTGCGCCGCAATGATCCACCACGCACACACGCACGCACACGTGCGCGTACCGAGATGAGTTTCTGAACGCACGCAGGCGCAGCGCAGTAAAGGACCGTACATAAATGACGTCACGCACCTGGGGTGGGGGGGGGGTCAGACATTTGTGACGATGTGTGACGAGGGGGGGGGTTTGAGAACTGTGACTTCACATCAAAATGCGCAACTTTAAATAAATATTGAATTGTTATAACAACACTAATTGTTATAACAACACTAATTGTTATAACAACACTCCTACAACATCAGAGTGCAGCACCACATTACATCATTAAATACGCCCTACAATTACAATAGTTTAAAGCGATTTGAAGCATGTTTTATTTTCAAAATGGAAATATGGTTTTGGGAGGGCGCGGGGGGGGGGGCAGAGCTTTGTGACGTCATATTTGAGGGGGGGGGGGTCTGACTTTTTGTGACGCCGGGTGGGGGGGGGGTCAAAAATCGTCCAAAATCTCGTGACGTCATTTATGGACGGCCCCTAAAGTAGGTGGCGCGCCCGTTGCTACATTCCTACGGCTAAATTCCGAGGTGGTGGTAGTTGTTGTTGGTGGTGGTTGTTAAAGCGCCACCTGCATGCGAGTTTGTGAAGTCACCATCACCCTCCCCCCCCCCCCAAATCTCCCCCATTGACGTCAACTTCCCTTAGAGAATAAGCAGGAAGAACATCGTCGGCACACACCGAATGCCATAAGCACTCTTCTTCACTCAAGCAAAAGGATCGCAGCGAATCTCTTTCCGAAGAACAAACAAACGTAAAGACGCACGCACGCACGCCACGTGTGAGCTCCACAACTAACTTATCGTTGCGTGTGTGTTTTTTTTGTTTGATTTGTTAGTACCGAACAACAACAGATACGGACCTTGCAGAGGTTTTTTTCTCTTTCATTGAGGTAGGTGGAGAGAAGGGGAGTTGACGGGGGGGGGAGAGGTTGGAGGGACGTAACAAGATCGTATTTCTGTCGTTTCATCAACAACAACAACAATACTACTGCTACTACACAAGACCAAAAACTCTAATAATAACCAAGAAGTCAGGGCTGTGTTTGACGAGTAAGCTCACAAGTTATAGACAACGCTGAACGCGCTACAAACTCCGTTGGGGATCGCTAGTGTGTGAGGTTTCCCAGGTAAGGCAGCGAGCGAAGCGTTAACAAACAAACCAAAATCAACGATGTGGGGTTCAGAATCTGACGAATTCGAGTCGTCTTGGAAGGCGCAGTTCCCCGACTGTGACCCCCCTCGGTTGGAACTCAAGCCCGGTGACCCCGACAGCCTGGCGCGCAAGCTCGACGCCACGTGCGCCACTGTCCGACGTTTGGAAACGGAGCTCAAGCAGGAGCGCTTCGTGGCCATCTACCTGCAGACGCGTCTGGCGCGCGAGAACAAGCGGTACGATTGCAGCCGATGGATGGGCTCCACGGCGTCTCTCGATGACCTCGTGGGTGACGACGGTGGTGGTGGTGGTGACGGGCGAATCGGGCACGCAGCCTTCGAGGTACGAGCGAGAAATCGGGACGAGGCTACGATTATTGAGGAAGAGCAGCAGCCACCACCATCATCACCATCACCATCGTCGTCGTCGCTTGGGCTACCCGACGAAAGGAACGTGGTGTTGGTGGTGAATAAGGCGAAGCAGCAAAGGCAAACGATTCTGTCCCGGCGCAAGATGATGAAGAACGTCAAGTGGCAACGTCGCTCTTCTGACGAGGAAGACGAGAAGAATGACAGGAAGGAGGAGGATGACGAGGATGATGATGATGACAACGACGAGGTCGTTTCGGATGGCGTGGCCGAGGAGACGGCGGCACCCTCGAGGGAAAGTCTCCTGGTCGATCCTCTGTCTCTCCGCTCTCACCACGGCAGCTCGGACTCCCTGGGTGCCAGCAGTGACAGCGAAGAAGACGTGGAGTCCGCCAAAGCATCTCCCGAGAAGGAGACGGCTACGAGGAGGAAGAAGGAGAAGCAGCAGGCGAAGGTCGAAAAGGAGAAGCTGGTCACCTGGACGGACACGAAGACCTCCGTGAAGGTGGCGGGGGGGCATAAGTGCTACGCGGTTACCAAAGTGTTTGGCGACGCAGCTGCTGCTACTGCTGCTTCAGCGTCAACTCCGACCCAATCGCCTGCGTCTGTGGAGATGGATGGAGCAGCCTCATCGAGGCCAAGGTTGTCCGTTCCCAACTACAAAGTTGGCCAGGTGGAAATTAAGGTGACACGCGCGGAGGAAGACCCACACAACCACCTGGGTAAGCAATGCGTGCTCGTCTCCTGTGTGTGTGTGTGGTTAATAAAACAACGTTTAAAGACGCGGCTATTGCACGCCGCATTTTATTGTGCTGTTTGTTGTTGGCCGATTGGTGTTTTTATAAATTTATAAAATATTTCAGATAACTTTTACAAAAAGACAACCAGAAAATTACTCCTTCTTGGTTCTTTCGGTAAAGTCACGTAGAAGGGAAATAATAAAATAAGAAAAATAAAACATAATAAAATAATTCTCGCGACGTTTCGGCCACAACGCAAGCAGCCGTCCTCAGGTGAAGAACAGCTTCAGACGCTGACTTTCCGACAGACCTGTTCTTCACCTGAGGACGGCTGCTTGTGTTGTGGCCGAAACGTGGTGAGAATTATATTATTATGTTTATTATTATTATTTTATTATTTTCCTTCTACGTGACTTTACCGAAAGAACCAAGAAGATGAATCCCTGCAGTCACGAAAGCTTTAAATCGAAATTCAGAAAATTACTGTGAAATAAGTGCGAATGGCAATTTCGAGGTTTTTTTGGGGGGCCGAATTCTTTTTTGCCTGGCTGGCCTATGGCCGGTTCATCTGGAATGCGTCCAACTTGTCGAACATCGAAAGCTAAGCAGGATGAATCCTGCACAGATACGCACTGCAGCTGCAGTTTATTCTAGTCCACTGCGGCGTTCACCAGAAAAAAACAGAGTTCGATTCCTGACCACGGGTGGAGAGATGTTAACTACCTCGCCTGGTAAGCAGGAGGTCGTGGGTTCGATCCCGACCCTGACGCCTGCTGTATATTTGGAGTTTGCGTGTTCTCTTTTCCCACGGTCTCGTGGATTATTCTCCGGGTCCTCTGGTTTGTCTCTCCAGATTTAGAATCAACATGCTTTTAGAGCATATGGCTACTATATAAAATTACATATGCTAAGCTACTTCTTTGAGCTATCATTTGTGGCCAGATCGCTTTCAAATTAAAATAGTTATATTTCGTTAGACAATGGCTTTAACCATCGATAGCAACTGATATCCGAACCGGTCCTGACCTTCACATTATATTCACCCGGTATGGTTAAACAATTACGGTACCGAGAATAACATGGGGAGGCCTTCATCCAGCAGTGGATATGTCCCCATGGTCTGTAAGTCCATCCCCTGTTCATGCGCAGCTTCCTCTTCTGTTCATGGTTGCATCATCTTATGAACAAACTATGTCCAGTTTATACGTTATTATTTCTTTAAATACACCTAAATTGTGTTGTAACGATATTGTATGACAGTATACAGGAAGGACGTTGATATTTTCAATTCAGTGTAACTGACCACTAAATCAGAATATTTACAAATCCGATGCGTTATGAAGCTATTTTTCATAGATGCCCATGCCATCCCATGTACATTATGAATGTTACACTTTCCTTTTTGTTTTTAATAGGATAGTATATAGTAAGTGCACTGCGCTAGAAACCCGGAGACCTGAGTTCGACTCCTAACGATGCCTAACTTAAAATGTCGAGTCATATCTGTGTACCAGTACTTCACATACTTGCACTAACTAGCATGGTGAAGTGTGGTCAAACAACTCCCTCGACCAACAGGCACGGGTAGCCATTCTTCCAGCAGTGGACTGACAAAGGAGTGCGCATTGTTACGCATCACTAAATTATTAACAAATGTAACTACAGGACTGTACGCACCATTGCCGTGCTGTTTGCACAGGAAGCCGATGGAACAAATATTGTTGCGGTAATTCCTTGTATGTTTTACCGAAACTAAAATAGCGTGTTTATATTTTTGTTAGCGCTTGCCAAGTTTTTCAAATAACCGCGTGATAAAAGTGCGGAAATCCATTGATGATTTAAATAAACAAAAACATTTCCAGGGCGTGGAAATTGTCATGACGCTCAACGTGTTCGCCTTACCACTCAAATCTACAAGAAACGGCAGCAAGTGGCTTGCGTGCAAACATGCTGTGGGTATCTTTATCCCTTGGGGGAGAGTGACATACGAGGCCGTCGCAGAGTAGAATTAGGTGAACCGAGGGCGTTGGCAGTTCCAACAGTCTTTGACGTCAGGAGACCTCGAAACAGCGGTGATTGTTAATGGTGTGAGATGGTAAGACCGCCACCAAATTGCTGTCCCGTGTCACTTCAGGTGAATACTCCGGTTAAATAAGTATGGGTAGGGCGGGATTGCGTGGGGTGACACGGTCACATTGTGTAGGTGTATTGTGGTCACGTGTAGTGCACTCACACTTTCCTGAGCGTCTTCCAGCATATTTCGCATTGACGGACACATACTCTTAGTTCTTTCGGTAAAGTCACGTAGGTAAAAAATTTAATTAAAATTAATAAAAAATAAAATAAAAATCACGACGATTCGGAGGCAACACCTGATTATGGAGACTCGTGTTGCCTCCGAAACGTCGTGATTTTTATTTTATTTTTATTAATTTTAATTTCATTTTTTACCTACGTGACTTTACCGAAAGAACTAAGAGTATGAATCCTTGCAGTCACGAAAGCTTCAAATCTAGAATTGACGGACACGTTTTATACTTTAGTTTTTGCACATGAATCGCACCCGAGACGATGTCAGGATTTTTATTTGGATTCACGGTGATGTTGTTTGATGAATATCGCGGATCCTAATTATTCACCGCAACATCATCCCATAACACTATGAGACCTCCTTTACCAGTGGCAAAATATAGTACGCCTTTTGGCGTCATCTGGTCCAACACCAATTGAGACTAGGCTCTAAGAAAAGCTGTCTCGGGTGTGGACCAATCAACTTCAAGGACAGTGCATGTCATTATCATTATCAGAGTTGTTTCTTTTTGTTTGCACTTGGACTGCTTGTGTTGTGGTTATTGCAAACATGATGCCTTGTATAAAGGTGTCAGTTTTTGTACCAGTTGAAAGGGTAACAACCTATTACTATCACCCCACAATTTACTCCGTTTATCCCGGAAGAACAAAAAAACTTACGGATAATTCGAAGAATCGGTCCGCAGATAACAGGAGTTTTTGCGGACCCAACAGCTCCCTCCGATAATAGGGCTTGTGGGCAGTGGCGTCTCTGGGGGGTTGCGGTGGGGTGCGGACCGCACCGGGTGACACCATCAGAGAGGGTGACACCAAATAAAAAAAAAGACACCAAAATTACTGTCTTTACAATTTTTGTGTTTCAGCAGATTTTTTATTTTTTAAAAAATATCCCTGTAGTTAGTTATAACAAGATTTTTTTCGTAAGCCCAGCTTACATGTACTGTATCAATATACCTACAAGGCTAAAACTCGATGCTAATTTACTTTTTTAACCTTCTAATGCGCTCCCGGTCAGAGCTATCATTGTTACCCAACTGCAGTGACGCTTCGAGCCACGTGGTCTCGTCTGCACGCGCTCTTGTGTTCGTTGCTGCTCGTGTTTTTATAGTCGCCGATTTAGTGAAATTTTCTGGTATTTTAGCTACAATATTTTGGTAATTAGTATTTGTGAACCTATATCAATAGCTTTTTTGAGAATGAAGTAGTAATTAAAGGAAATATTGTAATTTAAAGGTGTCATTTTAATTTTGCGAGTTGTTTATGTCACTACTATTGCCATTACATTCAGTGATATACGTACAAAAAAAACATTACTAAGTATTTCGTACGGTCTGGTACGGGCGGAGGTCCATGGGGGTGACACCATGAGTTACGCACGGGGTGACACCAACTCTAGTAACGCCACTGCTTGTGGGTAATGTGACCACGTACCTCCTTAGAGTTGGAACTGTGATACGTTTAATCCAAATGAATATTGTACAACGCTCAAAACAAGTGAGGATATGAATTTCTAATTGTGTGTACGCATCCCTTTCTGTGGTTAACGTGCCGTTGATCATTGTTTTCCAGTGTATATTTGTCAGCGGGATTTTTGTTGTTGCCGTCTTTATATTAATAAAATACATTCTTATTTCGAAATCCTGTAATACTGTACAGCACTCCACTGCAGTGCTTCAAAACTATTCTAAACTTGGGGGTGACTGAACCTTAAAAATAATAGATATACGGATACGTGTGGACCACCGTACCACCAATACCATTTTTCTGAATTAAACTTACTCTAAAAGCGCCATAAATTTTAACTAAGAAGCCAGCGGAACGATTTCGCTTACTCTCTTCATAGACATTAATCAGATGGCTGATGCTGCTAGTTCTGCAGTAAAAATGCATTTGGTGTTTTTCGTGACTTCAAAATAAATAAATCGTGCTGTAGTATTATCTGCAGTAGTTTGGCAAACCACTTCCCACGCGGCCTTACTGAATAAAGGTTAGGAACCACTGATGTACTGTACCAAAGTAGGCACTGTATGGTCTGGGTTGTTAGCCATATTTTCAGACACCCAAGAAGTTCCTCTACACTTGTCCCAAGGATAAGCGATAAGGATTTAAGGTATCTGCTTTTATGGGGCGCTTCAATGTCCCGGCAACTCAATGCACACATTATAAGGTCGGACTCGTTACACACAAAGTGCTTTCCACAAATGAACCACAATACCTTGCTGATCTCGTGAAGGAGCATAAACCATCACGTGAACTCCGGTCATCCTCACGGCATTGCACAAAGACGGTCACTGCATCGCGCGATTTCAGATGCGCTTCTGCGGCCGTCTGGAATGCTCTTCTATCCGATATTAGCACTGGAGCTATGCACTTTGAAATATAGAATGTCAACTCATTTATTTAGAACCGCTTTTTGTGTTCAGTTTGTTGTCCTTCCCGTGCACTTCAGATTAGCACGGGTGGCTACGTATGGAGTGAAAGAAGTTCAACTTGCGTACATCACACCTAATCCCAACGATTCCAATGCCTTACTGTAGTCTAGCCAAGGGGACCCCCCCCCCCCCCCACCGTTGCACCTCTCCCTGTGCAGCAGAAAATAAATGCAGAGCCGGCTTCGTGAGTGGTCCCTGCCAAAAGGATGTGGCTTTCCACCAGCAGCTGATACAGCAGTG